ACACAAAGCACATACACACTCCTCAGCACATACAGAAGCACACACACACAAACACACGAACACATCAGAGATCATGTGAACAATACAAGAATCAGTTCTAGGTCTTCCTTTGCCAGAATCTGTGAATTTTCTGGAATTTCATTCTCTGACAAGCTATTGTTAAAAACTTCCACATGCAAGATCCTCCCCAAACTACCGCGCTAACTGCCACAAAGTGGAGTATAGAACTTCTATTTCCAAATTCCCAGTTTTCTCTTTTTTAGCTTCATTTTTATTAATTCTAAATTTCTTATTAATTGCATGACGCTGTTGTACCAATCAAAAGCAAGAAAAGCATAATTTCACAATTTCAGGTATATGTGCATAGGCAAATGATGAAAGTGAGATAGTTTATCTTAGCCCTGAAAAAGGAAGGATATTGCACCAGCTCCCGTGCTAGAGTGGAAGGGGTTTAGGGGGCATTGTCTTACAAAATATTATGCACTTGATTAAATAATTTCAAAAAATCAATATTGAGTGTTCATCATGTGTCCATGGATATAGTTGGCATCAGTGGGTGAAAGGGGAAGGCAAGAAAAGTTGAAGTTCCAGGACCAGGGTGTAGTTTTTAACATGCACAGGGTTTTAGCTGCCATCCCCAGCACTGCAGAAGGAAAACAGAACCTGTTATAGTCTCCACACCAGTGATGTTCATAGCCTTGTCAGTGTGAAGCAAGCTTATGGTTCAATGAGTACAAGCCAACATGTGCTTACCCTTATATGAATTATTACTGCTAGAGCAATGTGTACTTGAGCAGCCAGGGAAGGAGCCAGGCAAATGGGGTCCTGGGTTAAGTAATTCGTGATGCTGTTTCTTTCTTCAGCTTGGAGTTTTTACAGGGAGGTGATATAAAGGGATACTAAAGACTCCCAGAATAATACCGATTGCATTATGAATCCTTAGTGTCTCCCATGTCCATCTGTGTGGACTGCTGTGTCCATCCTGAGAATGCATTTTCCTAGATCCCATGCTCTTGGCTGTCCCAGACCTGCCCAATTCTATCTGACCATTCACCAAGCTTTGTAAAGGTCACTTCCTACATATTTCTTCAACTTTATCTTTTATTCACTGTCTCTCCTATCCATCTCCCGCCTTTATTCCTGAAATGTCTTCCTTACCCAGATTCCTGGGTCTTCCAACCTTACCCACCCCAAATATAACATTGAAAACAGTAGTCAGAGTGAAGGGCTTGCCTAATATGCACAAAGTTATAATTTTGTTTCCTAGAATAGTATAACTCAAGCATAGTAGGGCATACCCATAATCCCAGCACTGGTGAGTTGGGAGCAGGATGATAAGAAGTTCAAGGTTACCCTCAGCTACATATTAAATTCAAAGCCAATCTCCATGATATCCAATCTCAAACATACAGGCATCAGTAGCTGTAATTCTAAATTATATCTTCTCATTTCTGGCCCAGGGTCCTTTAATGGCTTCCTGGTGAGAATCAGAGCCACACTTCTGAGCATGCATGGAGGGCCTTCTGCTCTCTTCTCTCCATCAGAACATAGTACTTCAGTATCAAGTACCAGAGCGTAGCACTTCAGTATGGAGTGCCAGAGCGTTAATACTTCAGGATTAAGGTACCATGCTGTCTCTCATGCTAATGCCTTTCCTGAAGCGAGGCTCAGCCTGGAAAGCAGCCTTCATCTTTTCACCCGATCCGTTCACCCAGACTCAGCTTAGATGTTAAGTTTTTCTCAGGATATCATTCCAGAGCCCCAGGATTGGCACAGTCCTCATCTTCTGTGTTCCTGTAGTTTTGGATTCATACTAACTCCTGGGATTTTTTTTTTTTTAACAAACGTCTCTTCTACATAAATTCCTTCTCGCACTATGTTCTGTTCTACACTTCTCAAAAATAGGTTCCATGTCACATTTATCTTTGTAGTCTCAACTCTGAGCTCAGGATTTCAGAATGTGTGAGTTGTGCAGTGGCAGGAAAACTGGGTACATGTGAAAAGAAGCAGAGAAATCCTAGTCTAATGTGGAGAGAGAAATGGGATCAATGTATTCTAGGATTGGTCTTTTTGTGACATGGGTATGAACGACAAGAAGGAGAGAGATGCAGGGTGATGCAGTGAAAAATCCAACAGCTTTTAGTTCTGGAATCTTGGGTAGAACGTGAGGGGCTGCCTTAGTCATCTGTCAACTCCAGAGCTCATTAGGGACTGATGAGGGGTAGTTGGGTTGAAATAAATTTCTGGGTTTTTGTTTTTTGTTTTTTTCTCAGTGTCTGGGATTAAACTAAGGACTTGCACAAACTAGGCAAGTGCCCTAGTACCCAGCTATATTCCAACCCAATTTCTTCCTTCACCTCTACTGTGTGTTATGTATAATGATATCAGTAGATACACACATGGCGGGTAGGTTCTAGACAGGTAAGTGAACATGGGTGGAGATCATGGAGTTATACTCTTGCATTTGAGGAGTCAGACCTTCTAACACTTCAAGGAGTGAATTATTATGAGGTCCCCTGAAATGCTTCTCATACTCTGGCCTGCCAATTATAGTCGCTGTTGTATGTAGGAAGGTGGAATTCTTTTCTTCAGGAGATATGATCTGTTATTAGGTGGATGCCTAGGTTATGATGCATGGTATCATATAGCTATTTATCTCCCCCCCCACATCTCTTGAAGATCCACCCACTGAATAGTATGTCTCTCACTTGCAAGATGCCAAATACTGAGTCCTACTTCTTATAATACTCTTTCCAGTAGCCTCTTGCCTCCCTAACACTTGAAACTGCACAGTGGGTCTCTGTCTCCTGAATTGAAGTGAACAGTTAGTGAGGTTTTCTTCCTCAGAACACCTTTTAGATATTTGAATATACCTGTAATGTTTTCCACCCTTCTGCATATGGTCGTCTCCAAAAGATATGACCAATTTCACAACGATGCATTCCAACAGGAGACCAATATGTATAAACACTCAATATGTATGAGTGTTTATAATGTCACTTAAAATAAATAACAATTTTTCATTGTGTTTATTTACTTATCAATCCTTCATTTGTTTTTTACAGCACATATAGACTCTTTCCATGCTATCTTTTTCCCTTCAAGCAAATGGAATATCCCGTGTGTGTGTGTGTGTGTGTGTGTGTGTGTGTGTGTGTGTGTGTGTGTGTGTGTATGTTGTGTTTGCTTTAGACTTTTGATTTGGCCATCGTCTTTCTCCCAGCCCCATTCCTAGTTCCTGTGTCATCATCATTTCTGGGAGATACAGAGCAACTTACCATAAAGATCTGTACACAGGCCTCAGCATAACCTTCGTTGAGTTTTTGGAGGCATTGCTCTTTTTTTCTAATTGTCTAGTTCATAATAAGACTTTGTTCAGCTTAGCCTGGCATTAAGAAATCCTTATTCACAGTATATTTCTCAATGTCAGGGTTTCACTAACCATTTGCCTACCTCTTTCCACCACCCCAAATGAGAGTGATCAATTGCACCAGCAAAGCTGAGAGTTGAGAGAGGGGTTAGACAAACAGCAACTCATCTGGTTAACTCACCCTATCCCAGTCTTACTATTTACGTTAGAATATTTCTATACAGGGAAGAAAAAACTAAGCCAGGCCTGATTTTTATCTCCTAAAATGAGGATATTTGGAAGTCATATTTAGAGTGAAACAATTTGCATATTTATATGGTTTCTTATTTGTTTAATTTTTGAGGTAATATCATGTATCCCAGGCTGGCCTTGAAAGCCACCCCTGCATACCCCATGTAGACAGTGATGACCTTGGATGCATGGTCCTCTTGCTTCTACATCTTGGGCACTGAAATTACAGGCCTGAGCCATTACACCTGGGTTATGCATCGGTGATGATTGAGCCTAAGGAAGTTCATATGGAGATAAGCACTTTACCAATATAGCTGCACCCTTTGCACTATCTGTACTGTATTAATTCATCAACTCATTATTAGAATCTATGACACAATATCCTTTTTGGAAATCATACAATGAAATAATACAAAAATGTCTGTAAAACAATTAAAATGGCATAGATAAGGTGACCTCTAAAAATCAAGAAATTAGCTTTCATCATTTTGATTGTAGGTTATAAGTTAGTAAATTTACACTTAAAAAAGAAAACAGCACCAGTGAGCCTCTCTTGCCCAGAGTACATTTCTCAATGTCAAGATTTCACTAGCTGATTTGTTTGTGGCAACCTACTTTCTATTTTCTTGTATCACATACTGTATTAGTTGCTTTTCTGTTGCCTTAAAATACAGCATGACTAAAAGGAACTTAAGAAAAAAGGGGCATATTTTAGCTTATGGTTCCACAGGCATAGACCAAAATGCATCGTGATGGGGAAGGGATGGTACGGTGGAGGGTACCGAGGGTAGGAAACCAAGAAATCACATCTCATTCATACAAGGAAGCAGAGAACTTGGAGTGAAGCTATTAACCCAGTGCATCCCCTAAAGTGCATCCCCAGTGAAGGTCTTCCTTTAGCAAGGCTCTGCCCCTTAAAGGTCCCATACCCTCCCAAATAGCACCACCAAATAGAGATCAAGTGATAAACATGTGAGCTTATGCATGATATTTCTCATTCATGCACCACACATGCTGTAGGAATTTTTAAGCTTGCTCAGTGCTCTGAACTTTCTAGTGTTTTCCATATTAGTTGTTTCCCTTGATAGTGAGTCAGACATTAGAGTGGAATAGGGGACATTCTCATTTTGCACTATGACTAAGGTGGGTAGTTTTCATATTGTATTGTTCATTGGTTTGCTTTTCAGGTTCTTGAGTCTACATAAGAGGGCTCTTAGAACAAAAGGAGAAGAATGTGCGGCTCACCATGCATGCTGTCTCCTCATTGACCACCATGAGTACCTGGGGTTTGTCTGAGACTATGGGTATAGACAAGACTGCATATGTTATCTGAAGCAGGGTAGCATTGTCCTGCACCGAGGGACATACTTGGTATTTGTTCCCTGCTACAAGAAGGACCATGGCAACCTCCAGGGCATCTTCAAGATCCCATCGGGACATCACCAACGTGATGCAGAGGCTACAAGGTGAGCTGAAAATGTAGTTTTTAAATATGTTCAAACAAAAGTATCAGTTTATTACAGAATATCTTCTATTTTCTTGGTCTTTCATTCAACTTCATGGAGTTTATGGCAAAGTAGAGAATAGATTGGGTGTCTTTTATTTTAGTATTTTTAATAAGCCCAGGCTGTCTTGAGATTGTGAGTTTGCTTATGTTCAGTTGCAAAATCACTTTATGCCAGTGCTGTCCTGATAGGGTTGCCATGGCAATGTTGCACAAGCAGCTCCATGTCTAATCAGAGACCTAGGTTCAAGGAGAACTTCCAGTCAGGTGCCCTTACCTTGTGCTTATCTGTCTATTCTGATTTGTGGTATCAGTAGTAATTGGACCTCCCTCCTTATTGTTGAATCCTTGTTCAATAAAACAACAGACTTGTGCTGAAAACAGGACCTGGACATCCCCCTACCCCCAAAAGACTGAACATTCTGATTAGTTTTGCTCAGCGCCAATGATCTCAGACTTGAGTTGTATGTCTTGATCTGTGTAGATGGGATTTTATCTTCTGACTGTATGTCTTTGCCCGTATGTCAAGGAGAAATTATTGAATTATATCATACCCCAGTGCCATCATTTACAAATGAAGGAAAGGAAACCTATAAGACCTCTATCAAGATGTGCAGAAGATTGTTTTGGTGGTGAAAGATTTACCTATGAGTTTGCTAACGGTGAAATTCTCTAGATAAGCTACCTACTGAAAATAAAGAACAGCTATGGAAAGATTTGAAGGAATTCCTGCTGGGCCAGATTACAAGTCCTACTCTGTATTCTTTATCTTGTCCTTGGTGAATGACAGTCTTTATTATGGAGGCCTTGATTGGTGGTGAGAGAGACTAAAGAGTATTTATGTTTTAAATGTTGTTTTATTATTTTTTGTAATGGATATATAAGTATTTTTTCTTGAGAAACATGGAGAAGGGAAGTGAGCCGAGGCCCCATTTCTACACCAAGTCTGCCTGATGTCTATGAGTTTACATGTTCCATTGGCAAAACATAGCCCCAGTCCCCCACTCTTGGACCCTCCCAGGATTGTGTTGTGAAGTTCAAGGATACAATAAAGTGAAATTTGCAATATAATCTATAGAAGCTGCAGTATGATGAATTATTCAGACAGTCATAGAAGAATAATAGCTTGATGATGTGTCACATTGGTTTTTCCTGATTATTTAGATTTTTCAGAGGATCATTAATGATTTTACATACTGAGTGCCTTGTAAGGCTGGTGGTTTTGTTATATAATCCAGTGACTATACTTGCATAAGTCATTTTTCCTTTTTACTAAAGTTAGAGAAAGTTAGAAAGATGTCTGACAGAATGCTGAACTTTGAAATTTAGGAAGAGGACATTTCTAAGCATGGATCATCTTGTATATATATATAGCTGATTGATGGCCAGAGTTGTGAGGTGTGCTGCAGAGTGTCACCTCCAGCTGTCACTCGTGGAAGAAAGAGAGGTCAGGAAGTGAAAGTGATCATGCTGGGTGTCTGCTACCACATTGATCTGCTGGATTAATTCTGCTGATTCAGCTGGCCAAGTGCATTTCTGTTCTCTCTGAATGTCCTTAAGATGCTTTGCATCCACAAGGGATTAGCCCTTCTGGCAAAGGAAAAGAGTCATCTGTCAAGTGGATTTGGAAGCCCTGCTTACTCACCGGAACCTACTGACAAGTGACCAAGATCCTCATACCTGAGGGTTGGCATTACTGGTCAGGAAATTAAGACAAATGAAGAAATGAACTTGAGGAGAGATGAATTTGTACTAATTTAAATAGAGGCAGATTTGTTGCTTGCAAAGTTAAAAATTCATAAAAACAATTTTTAGAACCTCCAATTTTTTTTTAAAAAAATATTTATTATGTATACAACATTCTGTTTCCATGTATACTTGCACTCCAGAAGAGGGCACCAGATCTCATAACGGATGGTTGTGAGCCACCACGTGGTTGCTGGGAATTGAACTCAGGACCTCTGGAAGAGCAGCCAGTGCTCTTAACCTCTGAGCCATCTCTCCAGCCCTAGAACCCCCAATTTTAATGCCTAGGTAGACAATACACAATTTTTATCCCTCCCACCAGATTTTCTTTTCACTTCAGAATCATGAATAACTAATAAAGAGCAAGGGGATTTCAACAATGGCCGCCCAGGTTTACCACCTTGCTTACTCTATCTACAACCACTTTGCAGACTGTTTTCTTTACTTTCAATTTGTAGTCCCAGCTCTCTGAATTCAAGTGCACACACGGATTGTGACATAATTCTTCTGCTACTGTAGCAGTTCAATCTTTCACCTTTGCCAATATTTGTGCTTGTCTGAGCATAATGTTTTAGCCTGGGATCCTGAATTATGGATGAGCAGTCAGACTGCATTGCAGAGTTAATTTGCTCTTAAGAAAATAAATGTTCTATAACCTAGTCAATCAATTTCAACCTAAGCTTAAAGGAACACATGGGAAGATACTGTATAACATAGACATATAAACATTTGAAATGCATAAAATTGGTGTGTGTATTATTTATGTATGTGTATATTTTAAATGCTAAGGAGACACACATAATAGAAGTTTCTGGGGTTATCTTGGGTATAAAAAAAGTGCCTCAATCCTTTTGTTTACAAACATGTTTACAGGCAGAGACTATATTTTAAATATCTTTTCATAGCTCCTCTGGGTAACATTTACTTAGAATATTTGCTGGCTTTTCCTAAATACTTCTCTCTTATTTGAAAACATTAAATTTCATGGATTCCCAGATGAATATGCCAATGACAGGGTGGCATTGCTATAATCTTACAGAATGAGTGGTAATTCTGAAACAGATGGCAGTCAGTATGCTAGACCACCTATAGCAAGCAGTCTTATAAGGGTGTGACGTTAAATCAGCATTTGTGGCACCTGTGATCCAACACTCGAACTCCTTATTTTTCCAGTTTATTTCCACATATTGTTATAGAGTTGCTGACATTGCTTTCTTCAGTCTGTCATAGTTTATTTGACTCTTCCAGGGCCCAGCTTCATGGAAAGGGGAGAGAATGTGTGACATCACGTGTCTTTGGAATATCTGAAACACTGTCAGAACCATGGGACTTCCTCTTCCCCCAAAAGCAATGCCACTAAATTAGCACAACTGTGTTTGCATTTGGGGAAAATCTAATCAGCAACTATGGTTGTAGCTGTTCAAACCTGCCAGTCATGGATCTAACCAGAACCTTGGGATGTCCTCTGTATGATGGACAACAACTTTAAAAAATATATGATACAAGGGATCAGATAGCTGTAAAGAGGAACAAAATAGAAGTTCAGTTTCCATGTTAGATCTTTTATATGCTTTATGAGTCTTACCAACAATTTTACCTCCCAGGCTCCTATTTTCTTTCAGATTGGGGCTGATGAGAAATCAAACATTCTTTCTGTGCACACTCGTATCTAAATACACAAACATCTTTCCCCCATTGTTTGAATGATAATCCATAGTTTATTACTTGTAAACATTTAATCATGCATTATCTTATTTAAACAGTTGAGAAATTACAGCAAAAATATAGGCAGACATTCACAAAGACTGAAGATAGCCCAATAATATGGTTTTGTTTTCTCAAATAAATGAATAGAAACAAGAAAGAAGTCAGTGACCTTCCAGACAGACTCAGCATCCAATGAGCTATGTATGACTTTGATCTACAAACCACAGTATGTGGGTGAAGTGAAGTTTGCTTAAGTATTTAAAAGTGGTTTCTACCGTAACTTGTATTCTTTCTCTTCCCCTATTGTTCACAGTGACCTCTTGGATTAAAAACAATTCCTTCCTCTTAAGATATTAATCTTTCATGTTTAGTAAACACTGGTCTCCACCCATGTTAAAAACAGTATTTACCTTGAATTCTGCAATCACCCACTTTTGTTTGCTTCCTTTCTCATCACGAGAGTCACCAACATTGTTCACATGACATTTTAGTCCCCTTTATCTGCGTATGTTGACCTGTTCACAGACTTTCAAAGAATTCTGCAATTCCCAGCATTTGTCTCAGCTGTTTCTGCTGCTGGTTTTGTTGTTTGTGGTTGTGTACGCTCTTACACATTATGAGGCCCAGCACTCATTTTGCCAAGAGTTACTCCAATTGCACATTCGCAGATAGCGTCTTCAGCTCCTCTGCTTTTTCTAGATGTCTCACAGATTATCTCACTTTGTTCAGATTCCGTGAGATGGGCATGGTTAGTCCAGTGCATGACTATCCATGCACTGCTTGGATAGTCAGTAGAGAAGTGAAATTCTGACTGTATTACCAGAGCCAGGGAGCGTGGGTAGGCTCTACTCTGGATACTATAGCAATGGATCTTTCATAGCTCAATTCCATTTTGTTCCGTTCCTTATTGGAAAGCCTGGACCCTAGGGTGCTTTCACCATGGTAAAACAGATCTTCACCACCTGACTCCTGCGTATCACCTACCTTCATCTTGATTCATCTCTGTGTACTGTGATGCTTCAGTTCTAGCTCCTTCCTAACCAAGCCTTGAACTCACTTGTCTTACTACATCACCCTACTTCCCCATCAGTCTTTGGTTCCTAGGCTTCAAGATGCAGCTCAAATACTCCTCTAGGAAATGTACATAGTAGGTATGACCAGTCAGAATAAGACATTCTCTTTTCATGCTCTACTTTAAACAACTTTTATATTAAAGCATCCGCTGCACCAGTCTGCATGGGCTTGCTTCTTTATCTATGTTTGTTTAGAATCTTAGTAACTCCAGAGTAGATGGTTCAGCAGCTGAGATGATTATTTTTCTTTTTACCACAAATGTGATGTTTACTAAGGGCTCAGTATTCTCAGCTGTATATTCTTGCATTTAAGAGATATTTCATGGATATACATTGAGCCAGATCCTCTCAATACAAACATGAAAATAGCATAGAGCACACCTGCTCAGGGAGCAGCAAACCCAGCAGTGGAAGGATAATCATCAAAGAATTGATC